AGCGAGAAAAGGAACTGACCTGGAAAGAAAGAAGAACGGGTTGGGAAGCAGCGGAATTGCAGACGGATAATGGTGAAGAAGGCGAAGGGAAAAGATGGCGTCTAGCGGCGGTTTTTTAACTGACAGCAGGGAGGCGAATCGGCGGGCCATGATTACCTATTTGTGGAGATCGTGCCCAGACGTCACGCGGAACCCAAGGAACGGCCCGGATTCCCGCTGGAGCGCCCACGTGGACTTTGCAAACTCCCCATTCTTCCACTTGGCCCAGCTGAAGAATGAGGAGTTGGGGGGCTTATGATGGGCCGATACCCAGTGGGCGGCCCAACTGAACCATTTACACTACTTCGGGTCAGACACTCGGAAAATACTCAGGTCTGGGCCGGCCCATGGAGCCAGGCCCGGTTGACTTTAGACCAAACGTAGCTGGCAGAGCCGGTCCGGAGAAGGAGACGGAGCAAATTGGCCGTTACAGAGCCGGAAAAAGGGGATCGCGCCCTTAACGGGATAGACTCCATCGATTATGCGTTACCCTTAAGTGCATATAGCTCATGTATAAATAGATGAGACCCAAAAGGAGGAAATTCAAGCTAGATCAAGCTAATAATACATACCCAATTCTCGAATTCTCGTTCTTAATTTTGTTCTTACGATCCGCTTCGTGAATCGGATCATTTGGTGGATTTATTGTCCATCAAATATAAATTATGAATAATTGATTATTATATTATAGTTTGTCCAATTTGTGTTTGAGAGTATCCCATATCGAAAAAGTGTGAAAAAAATAATCGATATATAAACACTTTAGTTGAACTAAATAATCGATTGAATTTAATCTTTTAATGTGGTTTAATCCAAGTGCCTTATGACGCAGTCCAGTTATCTCTATCACATTCTAAATTTTATCCGAGCACAAGTATTAGGAGTATAAATAGTACTGTAATATGGAGTAAATACAATGTAGAATAATGAACATTAGCGCAAACAAATATACTTCATCCGTCCAGAAATGATCTTCCATTGCATTTGATTTTTCTTAGTCAAAATTTATAAACTTTGATCTCATCATCTCAATATATGAAAAAATGTATACATTGTGTTTCGATATAAATACAATATTAATAGTTTTCTTATGAACCATAATTTTGAAATTTTAACTTTTCGTGAAATATATCTATATATACATGTAGATATAGTCCCTCTCATAGTTTTCAAAAATTACTGGTTCACTGGTTCACTAGTCGAACCAGTGGTTCAACTGGTCGAACCGGTGGTTTAAACATATTTAAAAATTAAATAAATAAATAAATAAATAAATATATAACACATACATATAGACACACAAAATTTCTCATTTATAAATATCTAAAGAAAGTAATTTATAACATTTGACTAAAAGTATATTAAAGTACTTGATTTATTTTACTGAGTTAAAAAATAAAATTTACATATTAGAAAAAGAATATTTACAATTTTATAAATGAAGACTTGACTTTATTTTTTTTCAAATAAGTTGTTTAATATTAAAAAACACTCAAATGAAATCTTTGCATGATATTCATTTTGTAATAATATCAATAATATCAGTGATTTTTTGTTTGATTCATAGCTATATAATATTATATTTTTAAAATTAAAAAGGAATTTTTATACAATCTTTTTTTAATTATGTAATATTATAAAGGATTAAGTGAACTTGTAACAAGAAATGCTCTTGCTTGGAAGGTCATAAACTTAGCCAATTGTCTAAAAGGTCTTAGGTTCAAACCCCCATGGTTGCATGTTTTGGAAAAAATTGTTAAAAAAAAAAAAACTGGTTCGGCCGGTCGAACCGGCCGGTTCACACCGGTTCGCACCGGTTCAATGCTTGTTACGGTCCAAAGGGCCGGACCGGACCGGTTGGACCACCGGTTCGCCGGTTCACGGTCTGAACCGGCCGGTCCGGTCCGGTTTTTAAAACTATGGTCCCTCTCTCCGACAAAAAATGTCATAACTTTACTTTTATGCTAATTTCAATCATAATAAATTATGAGAAAATATATATTTAGATATATTAAAAATTTATTAGAAATAGATTCGTTATAAGTTGTTATTTCCATATATCAATTTTTTATTTCTTTAAAGTTATACTCGTATTATACTCCTTACGTTGCAAAAACTCTTCTACTTTCTTTTTTTCTTGTCCCAAAAAATTCTTCACATTTCTATTAAAAAATTACTTTTACCCTACTAACTTTTAACCTACATATCACATCATATGTTTTTACCAATAATCTATCCATCATATCCTACTTTAACACATCACATTAAAGATATCTTTGGGAAGTGAACATAAAAATATCTCTACCTAAAATTTTCTAGAAGTCAAAATGGAAATATCTTTATCAGACGTAAGAGGTATTTAGTTTGTGGTTACGGTTAACATAAAAGTCAAAGTAAGATAATTTTTTTGTACGGATGGAGTAGTACTATCTCTATTGAGTTTATAAATAATATATGGACATTATTATTTTTTACCTCTTTTAAATCAATTTCAACTATTTTTTTCTTTTACTATACATATATATATATATATATATATATATATATATATATATATATATATATATATATATATATATATATATATATGGATTGACTCCGGTTAGATGACGAGTTTCGGTAAGATGACGGTTCCCATCAGATGACACGCGCACTTCTTAGTCTTTTTTTTCCGCTCTCCTTGGCCCAGACTTCTTTCTTCTTGGCCCAGTCTTCTTTTTTTCCGCCATCTTCTTTGTCGCTTCGCCCAGTCTTCTTTCTTCTTCGTACATTTCCTTCGCTCCCAATCGCCATCAATTTCTCTTCTTTCCCAGCTTCATCTTTCTCCTTCGACCCAAATAAACCCTAATCACTCCCCAATCTCCATCGCCCAAGCTATCGCAGCTATCTCCCCAAGCCCCAATCTCCATCGCCGAAGCTATCGCAGCTATCTCCCCAAGCTATCGCAGCATCTTCTCTTTGGTTTTGGATTTTCTCTCCAGGTTTAGTGGCGCCACTAATAAAGGTATTTTTTTCTCCCCTGCTGCTGCTTCTGTATCATCTTTGAATATTACTTTTTTCTCCCCTCCTAACTCAAATTTGGAGTCCTAATCCAAGACGAAACTCTGATTTCCAGCCCCTATAAAACGCGGCAGCGAGCAGCGAAGGAAGGGGGAGAACACGACCAGGGCAGCAGCAAAGAAAAACAGAGCAGGGTATGACCCTATGGGGTCTGGACTTCGGTCCAGCCCCTTCCCCCCATTTTTCCTTGTTATTATTTCTTTAGTTATACTTTGGATGTTACAGTAGGATTTTAATTCAAACAACTGGATTAGGTATGTTGGTGATTGGTGTTTTCCTACTCCAGTAACTAAAATTGTTGTTTGGCACAGTTTTAAAATTAAAAAGGGGATAAACTCCAGACCCATTTTTTGCATCTTTATCTGGGTGGTATTCAACAACATTGTTAACAATGTATGTCTGGTCATCAGCAGATAAAGGATCACCGTCGTTCAACCTATAATCCCAACAAACAAACAAAGAAACAAAAGCAAAACAGGTTAGTACGGGATAATCGTCTCACTTTCCATTTTTAGCAACAAAATAGCATCATACGTAGAAAGATCATATTTAAGACTTAGTTGAAAGGCACAGTTAGGGAAGTAGAAGTTACCCTGATTGCATTATCCTTCTGATGTTTTGCATGATGGGATCAAGCTCAAGGACAATCTCTTGCTCCTCTGCTGTAAATCTTTTGCATGATTTTCATGCTTCTTAATATCTCTTTTTTTTTTGACTGGCTGGTTTTGTTTAGTTTTGCTTCTAATACATTTCTCTTCAATTTGAGCCATGTTTTGGTTCATTTGAGCTCTGGTTTGGTTGAATTTTTGTATATGTTAGGATGTTCACTGCTCAAGTACTTTAATATTGTGCTTTTGTGCTGTTAGGCTTAGAGGAAATTTGAGTGAGTTTGTATTCTGGACTTTTCATGTAGTGACCTTATTCTTTAGGTAATTTAATAGCATCTGAAAGCATGGAAGTTGAAGGTGGAAAAAAAAATCATGGAAAAAAAAGGTTGGTTCTTATCTTTCTCAAACACACATCACTTTAAATTTATTAACCTAAAATTTTAAACTTATGTTTTTTGTGTTCTTGTTTTTTTAAGGAAACAAGCTGAGTTTGCTGTGGAAGAGCACACTGCTGAACCTTGCACACCTGCAGCTCCATCGACTTCCATAGTTCTTAGGAAAAGTCCACGTCTTTTATGTTTAGAACAGTCACCCACTGCCCTTGTCCCCAATGCAATCTTTAATAGGCCAAAACGAGATGTTGCGACTATTTTAGAAAGTATAGTTGATGACAAAGATTATAAGACTCGTATGTCTCCGAACGGCCTTTTTAACCTCTTGCAGAGGTTAAAT